GGTTACGCAAGTAACCTATTGTTTTTGTATGTAGTTTGTATGGTTCACTGCACATTCACATTGTAGTAATTAGAAGGTACTGGTTGTCACAATAATTATATATTGGCCAGTCTCAAGATAAAATAGTTAGGGTAAGATGGATAAGATGCCACCCTTAAGAACAATATGCATTTACTACATTATACAGCATATGAATATTTACATATTTAGTTGCCCATATTTTGAAGATATGCCATTACAGCAACACTATAAATTCAAACTGAATGATTTCACTCAGTTAGCCAACAGGTTTTAATGAAAAGCGAAGATCTTTGAAATGCACATCTAATTCATGGAATTATTAAATATACATCCACGTATTAAATTAAAAACACTAGTAACAACATGCTCCTCTGGGCCAATTGTGGGAGGGGCATTTTATCCCAAAGATATAATTTTAAGTATTCATATTTTAAGAAGAGCAACTAAGATGGGGGTCATCTTGCCTCAAGGGGTATCTTACCCTGTTTTACCCTGTTAATATTAAATATTAGTGTGTCATTGTTGTGGATTTCATTCTCTTATTAAAGGATATTTTAACATCATTTTTATGCTTTTAAAACATTCAAAATCACAAATACATAAGAGTATATGACACTTAAAGAATACATGGCTAATGCAAACATGAGGGCGATAGCCTGTTATATCCAGCTGCTTTTTGTTTGCTCCAATTATAGTTTTCTGTCATCCTCAATTAAAAACAATCATTTTGTTGCATACAATCATAAAAGCATATAATATATTGGGGCAGGGTGAAGATAACCCGTTTTTCAAGTTTTCATCTGTAAGACACAGCAACAACACTTCACAGCATCACACATGATTCTACATAATCTAGCACTCGCTTACACACGTAAACAAACACCCCGACACACCAGACGTGTGGTGTAGTTGCAAAACAAAAATACGAAAAGAAACGTAATCTATGCCAAAAGAATGCTTAATTTTTTACGACATTTAAACTTGCTATGTCTGGGAATTCAACAGTAGCCATATTCTTAGAAGCACCAATATTTGATTCTTATCTTTGATAACATTATATTTAAAACAGCTGAAGAATCTTTTTTTCTGCAAAGCAAGCTAATGGCTATGCCATTGTTGAAGGCAAGCACTTATTAAGTAGTGTGTATTCACCCATTTTTTCATGCTGAAGATTTGTAGCAGCCAAGTGCACTAGATGATTGACAATGAACACGGATTGAATGCTACATGGTTTTCTCATGGTTTTCAACAAATGAGACCACAACAGACATGGTACAGGAATACAGTGACACATCCACTCATTCACTCAATCATGAATGACAACTTGGCATACGGACAATCATTCGAGCAAGCCACAGATTACAACTGTTGAAAAGAACAATGTTTACACCTGCTTTAGCTTGTGAAGTGTGTCTACAGTCTTAGAGAAAGCATATGCCGCATATTTGCACAACACATAGTCTCACAATTATTTTACAAATGTGCCACGAATATGGCAGTTCCCAAAGAGATGTGCAGTACATGATTGACAGGATTGTGTTTTTTCTTCTTCTTCTTTTTGCAGAGCAAGCTAATGGCTATGCCATTGTTGAAGGCAATCTTATACTACATATCGACCTCCCTCAGGCCCCCTGGGACCTCGCTTTGCACTTGCATTGGCATTAGTAAAAGTGGGGCTGGTAAACTCCTTGGAGGCAGATTTGGTCTTTCCCCCGGGAGAAGTTCCCTTTGAGTGAATGTTGAGGATTCCTCCAGGTTCAACAATAGTGTTGATCACTGAGGTATTACAAAGATAAAACACCAATGGATATAGGGAAGGCCCAGAATGTGTAGTATACAGGGTCAAAGTTAAAAATCTAATGCTAATAAACTCACCCTCAAGTTGTCTCTGGACTCTTCGCAGTTCTTGGAGAATAGATGAGATTTCCTGCTTGCGAAGTAAGGAAAATTATTACAAAATAAAGAAACATCTCTGAAATGAATGTTTGGTCTTTGTAAATTACATTGGAAGGAATGTACCTTATTAGATGTTTTAAGGATGGGAACTTCATTTTCAGCATTGATTTTTGCCTCTATTTCCTCCCAAACCTCTGTCTTGTTATGAAACAGAGCTCTAAAAGAGACATTATATTTGTGGGAGTAAACAGACAAAACACCTAGACAGTATTGCCAGTTCTTTGTTTTAAAGATCTTAATAGAATCAAAAGGCATTGTGTGCCTAGGTCTATTAGCTGAACTATCTGTATATGCATAGGCGGAAATTCCAGGGGGGTCGGGGAGACAGGACCCCTCCTATCTGAGGGTTGTCCCCCCTCAAAATATGATTAAAAACCACGCTGTGTATTGTAAATACCAATGTTTTATACTTTAAATAATTGTGTAGGTAGTAAAACAACACAAACGGGGCAAAAATGCGTTTTAAGTTTAGAAACATTTTGAGTCTCCTCCTCCCTTGCCGAGATGGTCCTCACTGCAGAACACAAGATCCAGGGGGCGTGGTTGGATCCAGATCCAACTCCTCCCACCTTACATATACCTAAACCTACCCGTCTCCAACCCCCTGATCCCTAAACCTACCAATCTCCACCCCCTAGATGTGGATCCAACCACACCCCCTGGATCTTGTGTTCTGCAGTGAGAGTCTACTGCCCTTGCCTCACAGTGCTTTTGTCCAAATGCCTGCTTTCCTCCTTTACATCACCTACACACAAGTCCGGTGAGAGAGAACAAAGTCAATAGTTGTGGAACTCCAAGGCTGTCAAGGCTATTTTATTGACTTAAACATCGGATGAAGTGATTATTTTCTCTTTAATACAGATGATGCCAATGCATTTTTCAATGAGTCGCAATGTTAGCTATAATAACGTTACTTGCTTGACGGAAAGGGTTGCCAGGTTTTCACAACAAAACCCGCCCAATTGCTACTCAACACTAGCCCAAACTAACCACGTTTCGAGGGGGTCCCCCAGTAAAAATCGGGTTCCGGGGGCTAAAACACACGTTATTGGGGTCGCTTCAACCCGCGGACATGAAAAACAAACCCACGGCAACAGTGATAAAGTAGCCCAATTCCACGGGAAAACTGCGGACTTGGCAACACTGACATGACCACAACAGCTCGACGTTGTCTAATTTGGCTCAGTCTCCCAGCTGCACTAATAGTAGTAAGGCTTTCCTCTGTGCATACATTTTCTTACAAGTACAATTTTAGTTGTATTATTTGTGTCCCCTTCAAAAATTGCTCTTGAGAAATTTTATGTTTATTGTCCCCCCCAACTGTTAGACAAAATTTACGCCCCTGTGTATATGCTAGTGTAAAATTAACCTTTAGCAGATACACACATTTAAAATATATAGTCTCTGTTGTGGGAAAAATGGACCAAAAATACTGATGACTCATCCTGGACTACACAGATTTTCCTATATTCTCTAGAATGAGAATCTCCATTCCCCTAATCCGTTAGCAAGTACTTTGTAGACATGATGTAACTACAGCCTACTGATCTTTAAAAAAAAAAGAAGAAGATGATGATTAAAGAAGAAGAAGAACGAACAATCCCTTCAAGATGTCCCACCCACAGTTTGTTTTTAAATACGAAATATTTTACTTCATACTTCATTTTCTCTGCTAGTTGCTCCGTGTTCTCTCTGATAGCCTGGGAGAGCTGGGAGACTGGGTTTAACATTAGATTGTCCAGAATTACCTGCGATTAAAAAAAATCAAAGATTAAAATTAGAAATGATGTGATTGAAATTTATCTATACAGCTTCTGAGAGGCACTGCCATTGGCTATGCAGGCCATAACACCCTGAGTAAATGACTAATGGATCAGTTTATTAGTGTAATGAGCAAAGGATTTGACCAAATTTGACCTCTTCACGGTTCCAGGGACGCCGTCTGGAACTGTCATGGTCGTTCATATTTGAGTCCTGGTCTATTGGACTAGTTGAGCCTGGAGGAACCTTTTGATAGTTCAGACTTGCCTCGGGTATATGCTGTACCAGCTGCAGATTAATCAGGGATGGGAAAGCACCAGTAAGAACACGTGGACATGACAATGGCAGGTTAAATTTGATGTTAAGAGACAGATTACAATGGAGGCTTCCGGGAGTAAATCTTTGGGAAGATATCTGTATGATCATGCTAATTCAATTGTGAATAGAAAAGGGTTCTGTGTTCACAGTCAACACAGCAACTGTGATCCTTGTTTCTTCAAGATACATTTGGAAAATATTTTTAATGTGAACATAACCTGTTTTGTGAACATACAGCCTTAGGAGTGAATTTGCAAGTGAGTTTCCATGCATTAGGGAATTCCCTCATGCATATAAAAGGCAGAAGTTTAAACAACAGGTTTCGAAGCTGGACATTGGACAGTTGTTAGTACATCGATACTGGTTCACAGAGAAAGTATTTTAATTTTGGACACCACTTGGTGATAATTCAGCACCTGAGGTAACAGGAACCTCTGTAATGATGCATATGGTTTCTGCACAAAAGAGAAAATATACAACAGAACGTATGCAAGATTAAACAAAATCTTTTACCTTAGTCTTAGTCCTTTTTGGGACACAATATAATTATAATGAAGTGTACCATGGTATAGCAACCCAAGACTCCAAATCGAACAGGCTAGCTTACCTTTGACTTTAGTATTTTATCTACAAATTTTTTTCCCTCTTTGTGCTAATAAGAAGAATATAAAGATTTGCTGCATGTTCTGCTTTATATTAAAAAGGTAATGGAATGGGTTAATGTATATAATGGGATGTCATTTAACCAAGCAAGCAAATCTTAGGTGCACCTCCTCTCTGGTTGAGATAGTGGATGCAGGGGTATTGGGCATTGAGCCTGTGGAAGTGGTGGCTCCTATGCCTGACGATGTCTGGGAGTCACCATCCCCAGCAACATCATGGATTTCACGTGCAAGAATGGCAAGATCTTTGGCCAGGTCTTGACTCAGCCTAAAGGAAGTAAGTATAAATGTAAAATATAAAAATGAATCAATCACAAACCATCTTAATGCATTAGCATTTCACACCACAACAACAAAAAAGTTAAATAACCTGGCAATCTCTGCACTATGAGTAGACCAGTTCTGGAAGTGCTCATTCTGAGTTTCGTCCTCTTCCGTTTCCAAAGAGCCACATTTTAGCCTCATTTGAATGGTCTTCTGTGGTGTCTGTGTCTGAGTTGAAGCTGAGGCATGGGAGCGTTTATGTTTAGAGTTGGAATTGGTCTCAAACTCCTCCTCTGAGGTAGAGGAATAATCTGAATCCTTTTGTCTCCGGTGAGAACCTCAAATTATAAACAAAAAAGGGAAATTAACATTTCTAAACAATGTATCATGTTTGTAATTTAAAACTTCAAATTACAATATTGTCAGTAATATTGTAAAATGGCAATGTTATGCAATTCTAGTGGTCTTGTCTATAGGAACTGTAGATAGAGAACATCTCTGAGATTTAAGATAAATAAACAGAGAGGCACTCACCAGTTGTGCTACTGTGTTTAACTTGGTTAGATCGGTTACGAGTGGCGGAGTGCTTCCCTACTGATGCAACCCCTTTGCTGGTAGCCTGCCTCACTTCACTTGAAGCCTTCCTCACACTGCTATTTGCCTCTGTAGGACGGTTAGAAATGCCATGCTTGCTTGAGGTGGACTCACTGTCACTTGGAACAGTAAAGGACCCAGTGCGTTTCCGAGGCATGGCAAGAATGTCCAGTCTTGACAGTTTCTTTCCTTCAGCAGGAGTCTTACTGTGGTCGGAGCTCTGAGATGCACGGTCTGTCTCTGCACCCTCATTGTCTGAGGCCTCACCTAGTCGAGCTCGGCGGAGCATGGAGGCACGAGTTGGTCTTGGGGCTGAAAGGCTATTGGATCGGGTCAGCACCTGATGGCTTCCTTTGGTCATCTTACTGGGGTCCTCCTTCTGCAGGGGTGCAGTGAGTTTTTTGCGGCTGTTGGGTCGTGAATTTGACTCATGGTCAGAAGCCGCAGCTTCTGGCCACAGCTGTTGACCATGCTGATTATCCGAAAGGTCTAAAGAACCACGGTTACCAGCACTGCGACGAAGCTGTAGATGACGACTTAGTTCTGCTTTACTGTTATTATCAGCAGAGGCGTGATTTCTGCGTTTTTCTGATAGCCGTTCACGAGCTGTAGGTTGTCGTGCTTTGTCTTGTAAACCGGAAGATGACTTCTCTTTACGCAGATCACCTGCAGATGTGTGCTTCTTATTTGCACTGACAGGAGCATTTTTATAGCTGACCATGCTTACAGTACTGGCGGTATCAACATCTGAATCACCAGACAGGGAGTCCTCTTGTGCAGGACAGCTCCCTGTTTTTGATAGTTGACTAGATCCAGGTAACTTTTCTTCTGGTGATGTCAAATATTTCTCTGCTTCCTTAGGATATGGAAATGTATCTCGAACAGCTTCCTCAGTATCCAAGCTTCTCAAAGCAGGATGACTAGAGATATGTGGCAGTTTCTTGACTTGAATGTTATCACTTGCCCTATCTTTGGTAAAACTCTCCTGTCGAACAAATGAGGTTGAGGTCTCTTTGGTGGGCACCACATCCCTGTTATGCATCTGAAGATTTGGGGCTGATGAGTTAGGCTTCACTGGACGCCTAGACTCGTGGCCATTCAAATGTCGTATCAAGACAGTTGTTGGAGGTATCTTAGGAGAGGAGTCTCTCTCTGGCTGTGAAAGAACTGGACTTTTGGACACATCTGACTTGCATGAACCATCCTTAGAACCAATATAAAATGAGGTGGGTTTAGGAGTGGGTGTTGGCAACTCTCTTAACCCTCTGGAATGGTTTACATTTTCGTAAGGTGAATGTGTTGTAGTTCCTCTCTTTCCTTGGCTCCTTCCACTCCTATCAAGGATTGAGCTGTCATCTGAACGGCTAGTGTCACTCAGACTGTCTGGGTCCACATCATCTTGGACACATAGCCACTGAGTGCAGTCATGCTGCTGTGGTGCTCTGGAACCTTTCTCTGGTGGCTCATGGTCCATGTTTGTTTCATGCCGAATCAAGATACTGGGGGTTGTGTTCTCCAGTTTTTCTCCAGGTGGAACCTGAGGAAGTAGTCGTCTGGTCCTGGAAACTTGACTGCCCTCTGACTCCAAGATATCCAAGCTTTGACTAATCATTGATGTCGCACTGTCATCTTCAAAATGAAAAGAGTGAAAATAGTTATTAATTTGCTGGACTATTCATAAAATCAAAAATTGTATTGAAATGCTTAATTGCTCACTAGGGCTGTGCGATTAATCGAAATCGACATAAAATCGCGATTTGAGCATGCGCGATTTCTAAATCGCTTTACAGCACGATTTTCCGCTCCCCCGACCTCCCGCAGTATGCTATCCGAACCAATCAGAATGCAGCGCGCCTAAATGGAGCACGAGAACAGAACAGACCGGGCGGGCATACAAACGTAACGCCAGGTTCACACACTCCGTCTGTGGTGCGTATTTTGTCCGCGCCCATGTTAACGGATCAGAGCGTTCACACTGCACGCGATTGCAGTCCGGCAGTGTGCTCCAGGAGCGGTGCATCTGCAGCAGTCATGCTGCGATCGTTTCCGCACGGAGTCTATTTCTGCTATGCTGCATGCACAGCGCATTATTTGCAGTAAAAATTAACATGGATTGACACGGAAATTTAGTAATTACACCATAAATGCATATAATTAAAGTCTACTGTTTCACAGTCAACACATGGCTTTTTGGCTAGATTTAAAACAAGGAAAAGTGCACTTTTAGATAAACAACGCAATAATAGATGGCACTCAAGGTAGTTAAACAAAGTTATTTATTGAGTTTAAACGTGAATATGTCTATGAAAGATTGTATTACTGTACTGTGATAAAAGAGAATCACAATGCTGAAAAAGCATTTTCAGAAACAACGTTTGGATTTGAAATCAAAATAATGGATAAATGTTGTGTTTGTGGTAAACAGCCGCGGATCAGGAGCGAACTGCAAACGCGTCCTGTGCGAAAGCAAAATGAGTCCGTGCTGCTTCTGCACCGCATACACATACTGTATACTGTATACTGTATATGTCGCACAGCCCTATTGCTCACTAGTGGTTTTCAATGAATATACCTCTTTCTGCAGGTACACTTTGGGGTGGAATTCCCATTGATCCTCGAGTAGCCCCAGGATCACTGTAAGTGTCTGCTAGGCTGGCCCAGCATGAGACCCATTTAGGCCCTCCTACATCAGGATGTGCCTAAAGCCAAAAGAGTAACATCTAACAATCATAATTATTCATTAATTGTGCACTATTTTACACAGTTGGGGCAGTATTTCAGTAATGAAGGAGGGCACTGTCTGAGCAGTATGTAATTGCAATACCTGCAGTGAGATGACTTGGTCCCTACCATGGCCCTGTGATAATGTCGACATTACATCAGCTACCATACCATGGCTGTGACTCAAGAATAGTTGCTCATCTTTACCATCATCAATCACAGGCCTATAAACTCCAAGAGTCTGACCACTGTATTCTGGTGCATCTAAAACACCAAACACCTGTGAAATATGAAAAAATATGATTTATCATGTTTCTCAAACACCACTGTCTTCCATTGTTCAGACCAAATAGGTCAAACAGGTGATGCCAACCCAAACTCACACCAGCAGTTGAAACAGAAGTTGACATTTCAGACCACTCAAACAAACAGCACAATGCTTTGAAAGTGCCACAGTTTTCCACTCCTCAACTTTGCTTACTTATTGTATCTGTATAGTAAACCGGATAGGAAAAAGTATCTTAACATCTACATATTACACCTGCTATATCATTGTTAAAGTCAATCACTGACTACTCTGAATTTTGACTCTGGTATACACCAATGTATACCAAACTAATACAGTTTGTATCTTTTCCAAAGAAAAAGAAAAAAGGGTTTATCACCTGATCAATCATACTTCTAGCTTCCTCCACTTCCTTATCTTGTGACTCTGTCTCAATTGTGTAGGTACCAGCATCACTCAGACTGTCCTCCTCCTCGGTTCGCATCACCCTCGAGCCCTTAGTTTCAACACCACTAACTAACAATGGTGAAAACTGTGGTACAGGTGACCCAGCTGAGCAGAGTGGGGAGGCACTAGAAACTGGACCCCTTCCTGGGGCTTGGGAAGGGATAGAGACAGGGGAGGTTGCTGGAAGAAGAGACTGGGATAATGCAGGTAGTTGGGATGGAGAAGACGGGTATGATACAGATGAGGGTGCAGATGGCTCTGCTGGGGAGGGTAAAAGAGTGTGTGATGGGGACATCATCACAGGAGGGGCAGACATGGGAGGTGGGGAAGTCTTTCCCGTATCCTTCAAGAACTCTGCGGTAAATTCCTGAGATAGTTTGGACTTCTTGCCTACACTCCCAAAAGGCTTAATGGTGATAGCTGGTGAAGAGCGAGACGAGGTCCCTAATAGAGATGTGCTGGTCCCACCGTCTTCTGTCTTCTCTCTCTTCAGTGAGCTTGATCGCTGTGAACCTCCATGGCTTGAACCTTTCAGTGGAACAGTGATTTGCTGTGTTGGAGGAACATGCCCATGCACAGAGGCGGGCCTATCCCCATGAGTCAGACCTTTTCGTCTCTCTAGTTTGGCTTTCAATGCAGAGTAGGAGTCAGCATGCGCAGAGTTGTGGGTAAAGGACTGTGACCGCTTCTTTCTGGGATTATCATCAAAGAACTCAATAATGAAGGCCTGCTGGGTGTGAGGTTCAGGGTGAATGGGCTTAACCTCTGTCTGGGGAGGAGAAGAGGCTTCTTGAACAGGATGAACCTCGCTTTCATCAAGTTCTCCTTGATGGTGTTTGTGTGGAGAGACTGACTGAGGATGATGAAACTTTTGCATTGAGACAGACTCTTGGGACAGAACTGATTCGGGTGGTTCAGATTTCCTGGATTGAGCTGACTGGTGTGACTGTACTGATGATTGTGATTGCATGGAATGATGTG